GTGTGTGTGTCTGTGTGTGTCTGTGCACATCATTGCATGTGGCAATTGTCACATATGATMCATTTCTATTTCTACAACACTTGATGCTACTTGATGTATAGAGACAACTATACGAGTGGTGGCAAGGAACAAACCCCGAATCAGCGTGCTCACCAAACAAGTATGTTCATGAGCAGCTAATAAATTCATGTGTAATAGACACATGCATTTCCTTGTTTGCAAAAGACTAATCTGCACCTACCACAGAGCTCTGTTTCAGAAGCAGTTTCATGCACATAAATTGTGCTGAAATCCCTCACTAGAAGGCATGGGACAAGATCCAGGGTACAGATCCTGCCATGTGATGGAAAGCTGGCATACCTCTAGCAGACATGAGAAGAGACCAATTATTTTAATTGTTTGTTAGAGTTTTAAAATCACTTTGGCTGTAGCTGCAGGGTGACAATTCCGAGCTATTAGCTGGTATTTTCTTCAGGAAAAAATGTTGTGGTTTTGGTGATTCGAAGAGTAGGTTCCCCTTGCTTTATCCCGTGCACATGCAGCCAACAAACCATGCCTAATGAAGGATCTTTGGGTTTGTATTCCCATCTTTGCTGTTTCATTTAATACTTTCCCTGCCAAAATGAGGCTGAAAGGCCTCTCAAAAAAGTTGTTCACTGAAGGTGAAATTATGCTTGAGATTAAGAGCAACTACACTGTATTATTTAAGGCACAGGGTATATTCTAGTYCCCTAGCAAGCTGCTTGCAGACCAGAATGATAGCCACTCTTTGAAGGCTGAACACAATGTAAACCTTGAGGTTGTGGATCTAAAAACCACCAAGCACAGGGCATTAACACAAACACTGATGCCTGGGAGGGGCTGTGGCTACAGCTTGGCCAACCCCCAGATGAAAGGGGTCACTTCTGGGGAAGTGACCACCACCACCTTTCTCTGGTCACAGCCCTCAGTCAATACAAATATTTGTACAATACAAAGATTTGACAAAATTAAGCAGAACTTGTCTTTGGTCCTCAAAGATGCTGAGGTTTTTCTAGTGCCACTGATGTTAGTGAGAAGCATGAGGGGATCTCTTGTGTGTGCTGTGATCACTGAGTCATTGGAGAGCAGCATCACAGCCCAATCATCTCACAAATGCACCATGGCTGCAACCCTGGTTGTGTATACAACTTGTGTATATAATCCATTGCAAATTTTAGCATTGTTTGAGTTGGAAAAGTGTATTTCTGTGAATTTTCCATCCCTTTAATGTGAAAAAATAGCAAATATAGGTAACTAGGAAACGTCAAGAAACATAATGAAACATAAAATGCTTGTAATGATATAAGAACTGATTTCAGCCAATTATAATTTTTAAAAGAAAAAAAAACCCTGTATCATCAAAACCTGAGTACATCAACAGCATTGTCCTTTCTGCAATCAGGATTAGTTTATATTTCCTGACAGCCGAGTGAGAAGCATTCCAAATTGTAGCTTCTTGACCTTTTTCTCATTCAAAAACAGGTCAAGATACTACATGAATAAAATGCAGAGAGTAAAGACACATTTTGGGGGAGGGGAGACAGATTCATCCATTACCTATTTACTAACTATGGACCTTTTAAGAATGTTACTCTTTTCAAATATTGACTTTTTTATTGCTTCTCTTACAATTGCAATGGGGGAATTTAAGAGCCCCACAAACTACTTTATCATATAATTAGTTTATCAGTAAATTTGGACCTCGTACATCAATCACTGTAATGCATAACCACCACTGAGACAGAAACCAGATGTGCGTGCTTCTGCTTTCTTCTTTATAGTATCTACAGCATCATTAGTGCATATGCTACAGTTTAAATTGAATTCAGCAAAAAGCAATGGTCTTACCTTCCTGCAAGCCATATTACTGCAGGGATAAATCAACATTATGTTGATTGACAACTCATACTCTTTCACTGTTGCTSTTTGGAAAAGGGTGAAGCATGACATGTGCATGCAAAAAATAATTTTAATTAGTCACGTATAGAAAAAACACTCAGTTTCATGGTAAATGATGTAAGACGGGCGTGCTACACAACAACACCAAGAGGCTTCTTACACTCTGAGTTATCTGAAACCACCAGAAAAAGGTCTGCCTGCCCATTTCTTCCCCATGTGGTGTGACTTTCTTTTCAAGTGCCACTTAATTCTGACACCTGTACAATCCAAATGGGGGAAACATAGCTGTTCCTGAGACAGGCTGGAAGATATCTTTTTTCAGACGCAACATGAGAGAGCTCTTTTAGGGTCTACTAAGAAAACATCAGGATGCCTGATTTTTGCATCCTATGTAACCCACAAATTTCAAAGGCAATGGTTTCTGTAACCTCCAAATTTGTAGTACATCTTATGGACAAAGGAGTGGAGTTCCGACCAGGACAGTGTCTCCATGTAAGGACTATTATCTGTTTCACCAACTAATACATTGAAGATTCAGTTTTCTGAGGTTTTTTCATACAAAATTCTCTTGGAWGTCAGGTTCTGATTGAAAAATATGGAGCCCAGCTTGCATGTGCATTAAAAATCCAAACAAGTAATTATTTACACCACTTTTTCATTTTCCCAGTAATCAAGCACTGGCTGGTAATAATGCCCAAAGGGCTGATTATACCAGCAAGATACAGCAGCTCTCTGACCACACCTCTTCCTGGGGAAAATCTCTACACCGACGCAAAAGGCAGCATGTTCGTAGCAGAGCAAAATGGGAATTTCATGGTTGCCTGGAATTAATGGTTCTCACGTTCTTAGCAGAGCTGAGCTGAAGCGCTTACCACAGAATGAGGACTTGTTAGGCAGTCCGTAACACGCTTCCTTTCCAAAATTAAAAATCTTTTTCTGATTGCAAGCAGATCTTTTTCAGATTATATCCCTTCTCCTTCGCTCCTGAGAATGAGCCAGCAGTGTTTCTAAAGTATGATACTTGCTGCTGCTCATCTGCATGTCTAGTGTACTAGCAGAAGAGCCTTTCCTCCAGGAATAACAAGTGTGTAATGTATTACATTACAGCTGATTAAAGTAGCCTTTGCTGCAACTGTTTAACTTGTCTGGTAGATCATCCAAATACTCGCAGGCATCGTCTTATAAACACAGAATATTGAAGCTGTGCTGTTTCATGACTGTGCAGAAAGGCTGCTGAAAACATGCTGTCTTAGTGAAATCAGGTACCCACACTAATACAGTCGTGTCTGGAAAGCTAAATRGTTATTGTGGAGAGAAGCTTTGAATTGATAAATAAAATGCACACATTAACTCACCAGGTTCCAGGTATGATCATGTGCTTGAAATACCTCTGGAACGTACACCCAGCATTATTGCTGAGAGATATAAGCTTATATTGCTATATTAGAGTGGGAAAAGGAATGGCTGATATATCCCTAATGGCAGAATTTGAGCACAGAAATAGCAGAGCAGGACTTAGCCTGAAGAGCTACCTATATTAGTGACTATCTATCAGCCAACAAGAGCTGGGCATGATTCCTCAGGCCCAGGCTGTTAGTGAAGACTTTGAAAATTTGTCTCCTTTCTCATAAATTGGGTAGATTTGGACTAGAAAGCACTGAGACAAAAGAGGTAGAACTGTCTTCATACTCGGTGACATTTTTAGTTCAAACACAACGAAACCAAACCCCCAAGTGCAAGAAGGATGGTAATGTGGTACTTACACATGATTTTAAAAAAAGTTCTTAAAGCTGCAAAGGTTATTAACCACCAGGAATCTTTCCTTTAATATATATTAAAAGCTGGTTTATATGGAAAGCTTTAGGTGTACTCGAATTTCAAACACCTGGGTTATTTTCTTACTTTACTGATCTAATCAATGCAGGTGTTTCATAGCAAAAGCACACAGGCAATCAGACGGTCTGAGGGCAGCAATGAGTTGCACACATTTCTCCTAGTACAAACAAATTTTCATGAGCGCGTGCAGTGAACGCACCTTTGCCATTAATTGCAATGAGGCAGTAGTGAGGCTTTGAGGTGTAGAAAAAATAAGTGCTTTAACCGATTCATAAATGAACTGTGCTATCTTCTTTTGGAAAACAACTGCTTCCAATTTTGCCTGTGAAGGAAAAGGGAAGGAAAGAGGCGAGGCTAGCACGGCCCGAGCCAGGCAGGGGGTGAAGGCAGCGYCTCTCCCATGGCCGGTTCTTGCGGTGGGATGTGGCACAAGATGCTGTGACCCGCCAGCACAGGCGTGCACTCCCACTCGCCGCAGCCAGCCCAGCCAGGGAGCGTGCCATCTCTCTGTCTTTACCAAGATCAAATGGAGCTAGTCAATCAGGGGATACCATTATTGCCTCCACCATTCAATTTCCACTATCAATAATTTACTGTATTTGCTGCACGGGCAGCAAGGGGGAGATGGCCAAACAGATTTTTTGACAGGGGTACCGAATCCACCCATCGGGCGGCCGGGCGGAGCCGGGAAGGGCGTTTCGCTGAGATCCCCGGGCTCCGCTGCCGCCCCTGTCTCCGCCGGCGGGCACTGATGCCACGGGCTACCCCGCTACCGATCCCGGTGCCGGTCCCGTCCCGGTCCCGGGCGGGGCAGAACCTCCTCGGGACCGCTGGGACTGAGCTGTGGCTGCGCGCCTGCAGAAAGTCACCGGGTGTAACGTTACCTGGGGCGCTTCATTAATAAGCAATGCGTGTTATTATCTTGATTGCATTCTTAATAGGCGAACTACGGAGAGGTCAGCGCGGGAGCGATATTTAAATGGATCGGGCTTGCTTAATACCCGGCGGAGTAAACCAATATCCCGCGCCGCGGGCGGACCGGCACCCCCCCTCTGCCCCGCTCCCCGCTCCGCGCTCCGGGAGCAGAGCAGAGCAGAGCAGAGCGGAGGGGAACGGAGCGGAGGGGAACGGAGCGGAGCGGGGCCGGGCGGGCGGGGCGGGGGCGGTGGCGGTGGCGGGGCCGGGAGGCGGTGCGGAGGCTCTAAGCGGGGCAGCGCGGTGCCTACGGCCGCCGCAGCCGCTGGCCCGGGGGCGAAGCCGCTCGGCGAGGAGAAGGCGGTGGGGCTGGGCCGGGAGGCTCCGGTTGGGCGGCGGGAGTGGGGGATCCGGCTCCGCTGCCCTCCCGCCCCTCATAAAGCTTTGATGAGACACTTGAGACGCCGCCTGTGTTGTCGAGGCGGCGGGAGGCGGCCGGTGGGACTGGGCGCCCGGGAGAGGATGTGACTTCCCGGAGGGRACCCGGACAGGCTTTGTGTGGACGACAAGGTACGCGGCGCCCCGCCGGGAAACTTGAGGGGCCGGGGGTAGGGGCTGAACGGGCGGGCGCCGGCCGGCGAGAGGCGTCGGGGAGCGGTGAGGGCGGGGGAGGGCCGGGACRGCCCCGCGCCCCTTTGTTCCCGCACCTGTCGGTCCGGCCGGTGCCCGGCGGAGCTTTGGTCGGGGCAGGCGGGAGCTGAAGGGCTCTCCCGGCGGGGCGAGGGGGAGCGGAGCGCGGGAGCCGGCGGCGCTTTCCCCGACGGCGGCGGCGGCGGCGGGGCCCGGCCGTGAGGGGAGGCGGCCGTGAGGGGAGAGGCGGCCGTGGGGCCCGGCCGTGAGGCGGAGGAGCCGGGCTGTGGGGAGGGAGGGAGGGCCGGGGTGCCGTCAGGGAGGGGCGCGATGCACTTGTTGAAGCTGGACCGTCGCTGGAATGTGAAGCATGCCGGGCACCCTCACCGGGATCCGGTGCCATGGGCGCCTTCTCCTCTGCCTGTCCCGCCGTCCGGGTGCCGGGTGCCGCCGGGAGGGAAGGGAAGGGAAGGCGGCGCTCACGGGGAGCCCGGCGGCTTGAGCGGCTGAAGGTGTCGGTGCTCGGCAAAGAGCAGCGCCTGGCCTCTACCCACCGGCTGTGGATTCCTGTTGGGGGGTCAAACACGCCTTCACCCAGAAAGGAACTGGGGTTAAATGGTAAATTTGTTTGGCACGGGTTTAATGAATACTTTGGAAACCTCGTGCTGTCCCACAGATTTTTATTTTTTTTTTTTTTTCCGTAGGTTTAAAAGCATGAGGTGTTACAGCTGTGGGCCACGCTTGCTTTGCTTGGTTGTTTTTAAGAGGTGCTGTTAGTTTGTACATTCCAGTTAAGATATGTCCTTTTCCTCTCAGTTTATTGTAGTTTGCTGTTCTGAGGTTATGCAAGATCGATAGTCATTACTTATTTATGTTTCTAGTAACACAGTTCTAATGAATGCAAAGAATCTATCCTGGCAATACATTTTTCTTCAGCCAGTATTTCTGTAATCTTTAATTCATGGTGATAAATAGATAAAATGAATTTCCTCGGTTGTCTGCAGATATGAGGAGAGGGCTGGATAATGAGCCACCTGCTTGTGGGCAGGAGGAACTTTCACATCACCGAGTTTGACTGGCGTTTTGGTGACAAAAGTGAAGAGTTTGCTCTGTTTGCCCATGRGTGGCTGTCCTGAGTAAGATCKTCATATAGTCTGCTCTTTGGTGTTRGGTAGTGCATTTATGAAAATCAAAGGCTCTGCTTATAAAGCTGGATTGCTGTTTGCGAGCCCTCAAAGTGAAAATTTACCCCAGAGTTGGTGTGGGTATTGAAGAACGTAAKCAGAGGGGATGCTTTTGGCTCCATGCAAGCTGCGAATGCTGCAGTTTGGCATGTGAGAGGAGGTAGCAGCTGTCAGGGGGATGCTGCGGCTTCCTGCGTGCGGAGTTCCAGGGCACTGCCTGTGTAAACACACCGGGGGAAGCGCAGAAGACAGTGATGTTCTGCAGGAATGAGTGCCGTCCCTCACCTGGGTTCTCAGGGTAAAGCAGCGACTCTGTTCCGACTCTAAAATATCTATTTTCTGCTGTAGTACTACCACTTAATGTTCAGCTTCACTGAACCTTGTCTGGGAAAACCCATTTGTAAGCAGTGTGCCTTCTGTTCGTGTTGCAATTGCTCTCTGCTTTCCGGAACTGCAGGGTAGATCCTGTTGTTATATGGCTGTGAAATCGGGGTAAATCAGGTCAGAAAGATGAAGAACATTTTATCTGAATAATCCAGGTATAATGGTGGGGGAAGATGGGAAAGGACTTTTATCTTGGAGGGAGTAACACTCTTTTCTGTTTAGTCTAACTTCAAGCAGCATGCTTTTAAGCACAGAGGCATTATGTTGTAACAGTAGTGCTAGGGAAGTACTGCAATATGCTGGAATACTATGAAATGTAGTGCACAGACTCAAAGGTTTTTAAACACTCGTTAGCATGTGAAAAAAAAATGCAGGGGAAAATAAGGTTCCGTGCTTTCACTTAAAAGCTTTGTGTACATGACAGTGCTGAGCTGAAAGTGGCTGCACTTAAAAGTCCTTGCAGTAGCTGTAGCACTTTGAGCAACTCTCTACTCTGCTGTTGCTGTAAGGAAAACACAAGAAGCTGCACTTTCTACTCAGATAATAATTCTCTGAGGGAGTGCAGGTATAAAAGCAGGTCATGAGAAATGTGGAAGCAGAAAACCCTCTCAACCCTTCTGTGGGTAAGCACTACATGAAGAGGAGAAACTTGTGTAGTATGTGTGGTCCTGCTAAAAAAAAAAAAAAAAGGTATTTTTCAAACCTGCCTTCCTGGTTTGTATAAAAAGCTGAAAAGTTGTTCTGAGAATGTGCCCTGTGCTTACACTAGAAATCTCACATTAGGCATTGTGTGAGTTGTTGGAGGCTCCACTAGAAAAGGATATGTGCTTTTAATAGGTTAATTGCTAACTTGTCTTGACCTGTTTTCAAGCATATGTTGTGAGCACTTGGTTTCTCCTAAATAGCTGAAATGCTGCTTAATTGGGAAACTCTCAATCATTTCTTAGATCAGTTCATGCACTGGCATTCTTGGTAGTGCTTAGTTGTAAACACTCTTTAAAAGGAAGCTTTTAAAGGCACTGAAGCTAAGCTATTTTTGTGTGTTCCTGAAATGGAAGTATTAACCAATAACTACTGCCTTCAGTTCCAGCTGGGAAGGTGCTCTACCAACTCTTGTATGCTGTGATACACCATTAGGAAGCAGCACAGGTGTGTACTGAGTCAAGTGCCTGAGACATGAGTTGGGATGGGGCTGGTGGGCTGTGTCCACTGTCTGTCAGCTCACAAATCTTACTGTTTTCTTTGCTTTGCTTATTCAGGCTTCTCTTTGACTGCAGGTTCTTTGAGGCAGAGACAGTCTTGCCTGTGTTCRCTTTCTGGTACCCAGTAAGAACTCATCAATGCTCTTGTAGTAGAAACAATAARTAACAGATTTTGGTACGCAGTGCGTACAGGCAACTCTGCCATAGTACCTTAAACTTGCATGTTATCAATTCGAAGTGCCAAGCAGTCCAGTGAGGAGCACTSTTTGCAGGAGTTGGTCATGCTAAGGAAGGCAAACAGTCTCATGTGTAAAGTGTAGGTGATCTGTAAGGTCAGGCTCAGCCTTTCCTTCTTCTCAACATTCAGGACCTAATTATCAGACAACTGTTCAACTGCTATATCCAACAGCAACAATGAACGTGAAAGAGTCTGAAATGCTAGAAATGCCATGGACTTGACTGACCAGGCAATACTCTTGCCAAAAAAAAAATAAAAAAAAACCAACCTCAACTCAGGTACAACGTTTACCCTTTATAACTAGTGAACCGAGGGTTGGCTGGGATGATACTGACTGATGTGATTGTAATTCTTAGTAACACTTACACTAGTAGTAGCAGAATGTCCCATTGGAGCATCATTTAGGTATCATGAATGGATACAGCTCTCTAAAGATGAGTACCGTGCACAACCAGAGGAAACAAAAGGAAACTTCMTTTAGTGATTTTTCATGCCCTGCTGACAGCTGCCATAAGGCTGTAGAGCAGTTGTATACTTTCCTTGGTAAGAATATTGTATTTTTCAGAGAAGTCATTTTCTGAAACCAGTTAATTAGGACAGTTATTTCTGGCCGTGGCATTTGTAGAGAACAGAAGGCATGATTGTTCTTATATTTGTTTCTCTGAGTCCTTTGATCGACTAGAAGCTCTCAATGCTTTACGCTATAAWTTACCTCAATCCTTTGGCAGTTCATTTCTTTTCTTGTGTACTTGGTTAGGAAAATGCAGAAATCCTTGTGACTCAGCTACAGACTACTATAAATTATGAAGAAATGGGGGAGGGGGTCACATTTCACGTTAGGAAAGGCAATTCTAGGAGGATGGAAGGATACTGGTTGCTAAATTTGAGATAAGCATCTTACAGTATCTCAAAATCTGAGCAGCTACTGCCACCTAGAGATGCACGAACCACATAGGCTGCTCAGGCTGTTTCTTATTAGGGAGACTGCACTGTTAAAATTAATTAATCCCAGTCCTTACTCTACAGTATAAATTTAGTGTGTGAGTACAGCTTTTTTTTTTAAATTATTTTTTCCCTGTAATTGATGTGTTACCTGTGTATCCTGTTCTAGTGATGCAGATAAGTAAATTTGATACTGTCTTCCTTGTGTGGCTTAAATAAGTAAACAAAGAAGCATCACTTTCAGCAAATCATTTGCTGACTTAGTTTAAACTACTCTTACAGAAGTATTTGCAAGTCAAATTTATAGAGGTTTGGTACAGCTGTTGCTGAGACTTCGTAGCCATTGTAAAACCTACACCAATGATGTGAAATGTAGAATTAGTCCCTTAAGGATTTGAGTTGCATTGAAGGCAGGTTGTTCCCTATCCCATCATTGAAGTCAACTTGTTAGGGACTGTCCTTTACTATATATTTRGTGGACTAGAAAAATAATTCTGTTTTTTTCCAAATATGTCAGCTCAGCAGCCTTTAGATTGGTTTCACTAGATTCAGAATTTTCTCAAAACAAAAGTGAAGTATCAAAGTTAAGTTGAGTATGTGGGTATTTGTGCAACCTCAGATTTAACAACATGGAATACACTGGTCTGCTCCTTGTTTTGGTATTAGTCTGCTCCTTGTTTTTTTGTTTTGTACATCAACCTGGTATAGCAGTTTTTTCCTCTGCATTTGAGAGAGAAGCACTGTTCCCTATTTAATTTGTGAGGAGCTGATTACAGAGGGAAACAATGAGCCTTTTTTACCTCCTGAATTCATAATTTCATGTTCAGTTATTTCTGTTTGACTCTTAGAGTCACAACATGTTTTGGGGCTTTTATTATAACTGCTAGGTCTCAGCTGTCAAATACCTAGTAGAATAAGAAAACCAACACAACTAAACCTGGASCTGATAACTTCATTTCACAGAGCCCTGAAAATGCAATCCTCTAGTTG